AAGCTCTTTGGCTGAGGAGTGGCAGTCCCAGACCAGAGGTATATTGTCATTCTGCCCCAAGCCCTAGCTGGAGGATGCTGGTCTTTCAAAAATATTCAGATTTAGGAATACACCATAAGCCAGAAGAGGAGGAAAGTCTAAGTGGACGAGGGATTCATTTATTTAGGTCTAACATTTCACTAACTAGAGCAGAATAGCTCAGAGGGGAGTAAGCGGGTTACACTGTAACCTTAAAAAAATAAGACGTGGTGAATGGTTCCACCTGTTTAGTGTCAAGAACTGATCGTTTTAAATCAGTTAATCCTACTTTGCTGTGGGAAGAGATTATTTGGCATCCACACGAAGCGATGTTCTTCAGAATCTGGTGCAATTGGGTGAGGTGGAGAGAATTTTGTAGGAAGTCAGGGGTCCAGTTTGTTATCCTCTCATTTTAAAAATGACACTTGTTTAAAATGCATAGTGTTATATCTCCCAGCCCTGTGCAACTCCCACCCATGTTTCTTTTTTCCGAGTTTCACTGTGATTTCTCTATTTGACCCTTCAGTTGTAGCACTTCGTTTCTTAGACATTGTACAACTAATCACATTTTTCTCTTTGGCTCATACACTTATTCTGTATTTTGTTTTACAAATAGTATTTTCCATTTTGTGAGGTGCAAAATGCAATTCTTGAGCCTTGTCTGCACCCCTAGAGTTAGAACCATATTCCCCCGATTGTCAGCAATAGTGTAAACTGCTATTATAACAGAGTTCAGATCTTTTTACTACTATCATGAACACCTGTTTTTACAGCAGTGTTATACCTGAATCCTATTTGTACTAGACACTTTACACTTTACTAAGCTACATTTGGGGGTCTCCAGTTGCTACTGTTAGTAAGTAAGTAAGTGAGCAGCTTTGTTACAGCAGCCTGTTTCCTACTGCTAAGCCTACAACAGTGGCAAATTAAAGATTCGAATATTACCCTCTTTTCCACAGGCATGGAGGGTTCACTTGCAATAGAAATGATGTAGTACTCTTGCAAAAAGGGGAAGAGTTATTTTGTTTGTTTTTGGAGAGAGGAAATATTTACTATGTACTAAAGGGGAAAAAACCAGAAACTTGACAGTTGGGTGGCCTACTGTACACATACTTCATCACAAAGATAAGCAAATATTTCTTTAAGCAGTCACAAATGGTTAAAATTAAAAGATTTGTTCTGCAGTGTGGGGTTGGCTTAATATTATGTTGTGAATACACATTTTAAAATAATTTAAATAAAAAAAAATTCAAGTTGGTGCACTTAATACATAACTCCATGGTTAAAATATTAAGATTTAATAGCTTGATGCTAAATAAATTGAGTGTCTTTTTAAAGATAGCAGTTTATGATATTCCTTCTCATAGGGGTGAGGGTTAGAGTAAAGGGTCAAACTCCCTTACCTTTGTTACCACTACGTTTTCATGCAAACAGTGATTATTCTTTGAATATTATTCCGGGTGCATCAGCTGAACATTGCTAGTGTAGATAAATATTGGACGGCCCGTACCTAGTGAGGTATTTGTCAAAGGATTAGTTTGTGAATGTTAGAGATGCATACACACAGTAATACAATTTCCCCCAGCAACTTTAAAAATTCAAACCATAAAAGTATTCTAATGTTGGGACAGGAATTACTGTATGGGGAAGTTCCAATAACAGAACAATTCCAAAGGATCCATAGCTTAAATTTAGGCTATTGTGCACGTTTAATTTTTTTCATGTGAATTTGTCTCTGACACCTCTGGGGCTATGCATATATATGAAGTTAAGGACTGACACACAGACTTGCAGGATCAGGGCCATATTAGTACTGAATCTGGTTCTGTATGAGTGTAAAGGACTCCTTGGGGCAAAGGTTTGCATCTATTATGCACCTATAAGGGAAAAGATCATTTTAAGAAAAAGCAAAACCCAGACTCCCTGCCAAAAACACAAAGTCAGCCTCAGCATCACAGTATTGATCAAGAGAAGAAAGAGTGAGTGGAAGGAAGGGATCCATAGACAATTCTGCTTTAGTGGAAGTACGACAGATTAGACCTCTTGTAATTTTGATTCTGATTTGTTTGGAAGAGATCTACACAACGATAGCATCCTCAGCAAACTTCTTGGCCATTAGGAAGGGCAGGTTCCTTACCCCTAAAAGATTATAGTGATCAGGAAGAAGATCGCCTCTCACTTCCAGATCTGTTTACATTTTTAAAAATACCTTCTGATTAGTTTTATAACCTGGAGTTAGGGGGAGCAACAGCTCCACTCCTGATCTATAGGGCAGTGGTCTCCAACCTTTTTAACCACAAGATCATTTTTTCAATGTAAGATCTACTTGAAACCTAAATACCCTTGCCCCACCTCCTTCGTGACCCTTCTCTGAGGCCCTGACCCTGCTTGCTTGCCCCACCTCCTTCGTGCCCCTTCTCTGAGGCCCTGACCCTGCCTGCTCGGTCCTCCCTTTCACCGGGCAGGGGCAAAGGGTTGGAACATAGGCTCTGGTCTTGAGCTAAGGAATCTGGAGTGCAAGGGGGCTCTAAGCAGAGCCTGGAGCAGGGATGCAGGATGGAGTTCAGGGTACAGGCTCTGTAAGGGAGTTTGGGTCCAGGGGGCTCGGGCAGGCCTGGCCTTTGGACAAGGTGAGCAATGCAGTTGCCTTGGGCTCCATGCATTCAGGGCCCCATGCTGCCCAGCTTCCGGCCCCATGCACCAGGCTGTTCACTCGCTGCTCTGAGAGCTGTGCAGCCGTACGGCTCAGCTAAACACAGCTTGCTGCCTTGGGTCCTGCAAACTCTTTGGCCAGGCCTGGGCTCAAGGCTAGGGCAGAGGCTGGGGTGCAGGAGAGGATTCATGACTGGGGCAGAGGTTTGGAGCTGGCTCCAGATGGACACTGCTTACCTCAGGTGGTTCCTTGGTGGTGGTGCAGTGAGGCTAACTCACCCCTGCCCTCGCCCTGCACCACTCAAAAGCAGCCAGCAAATTCCCTTCATCCCAAGCCCTGTTGTGTTCTCCATGCTGTTCTGTGGAGACAGAATACAGGGTGGAAAAGGTAGGGTTACCAGATGGGTTTAAAAAAAATACCGGACACATGTGATCTCTGAACGGAGGGGTGGGGGGGGGACTTGAGGGGAGCTGGCCGGGAGGGAACCAGCCGGCAGGGAGCAGGGCTCACTGGGGGATATCGGGTGGGGGGGGGAGAGAACCAGCTGGCGGGAAGCACGGGTGGCCGGGGGGAACCGGCCGGTGTGGAGCAGGGGTGGCCTGGGGCACGCAGATCCCAGGGTGCTGCCTGTCCCGCACACAGTCCCAGCAGGGTGCATAGGTGAGTCCAGCCTCAGGGATTCCATCCTGCCCTGACCCCACCCCCTTCCTCTGCACTATGTAGTTTCCGGTGGCCCCTAGTTCTTATATTATGGGAACAAGTAAATAACTTTTCCTTATTCACTTTCTCCACACCACTCATGATTTTATAGATCTCTATCATATCCCCCCTTAGTCTCCCTCTTTTCCAAGCTGAAAAGTCCCAGTCTCTTTAATCTCTCCTCATATGGGACCTGCTCCAAACCCATTTTAGTTGCCCTTCTCTGAACCTTTTCTAATGCCAGTATATCTTTTTTGAGATGAGGAGACCACATCTGTACGCAGTATTCCAAATACTAAATAAAACTTAATAAAACTTAATTAGAAAATACTGGACATTTATATGTCTGGTATTTTCTCAATTTGTTTCCCCAACAGAAAGCTCAAATACCGGACTGTCTGGTTCAAACCCCAACACCTGGTAAGCCTAGGAAGAGGGGACACCCTCTCATCAGTGCCCCTCCTCTCCCTTCCCTGCAAAGCAAGCAGGAGGCTCCCGGGGCGGGAGGAGGGGGGAAAGGGGAGAAGAGGAGCTCCAAGACAAAGGGCAGGAGTTGCACAGCAGTGATGGGAGGGGGCAGCTGAAGTGCTGTGCTTGACAGACTCTTGGCCAAACCCCGGTCAGGGGCTCCAAGATCTACCAGTAGATCCTGATCTACTGGCTGGTGACCACTGCTGTAGGGGAACCATTAGGCAATATGGCTTTGAATTGAAAACCAGTTAATTGCTGGGATTTGGCAATTATGAAACATGCTCATGTGCTAGAGCTCTTTCCTGAAGAGCCCATTTTTTTTTAACTTGTTGCTCATATTAATTGTTCTTCCCTTGGGATAAGCTCGGCTGGAGGCTGAGCACACCCTGTTATGCTCTATAGCGTGTGTGTAGCACTGAAGGTTATGCATATTTTATCCCAAAATGGGTCTTTAAGGATTTACACAGTACAAAGAAACTTTATATCAATAGAAAATCTGAGCACAGACAAGACTAATGTCTACATACTCCCCCTGAACAACTTGTAAGCATTACTCAAATTGAGCTACCTGGACCACTTTTGACTGCCCAAGTTAGTCAAAGAATTTAATGGAACAGATTAATCTCACTCCTACCACACCAGGTAACACAACAACAGTGCTGATTCCACATTCTGTTTAAGACAAGCAAAATCTTGGGGTCATGATCTCATCCTTGGTTCTGGAGTTAATTATATCTGAACTGTCTAC